GCATTCATCCCATGCACGGGGGTTTACATGCATGGTATTATTACCGAGAGGTCATCTTCTTCAGCTCCCGGAGGGACCGCTCAGTGTGCCCCTGAGGCTGGGAGCACAGGAGGTACCAGCCAAGATAGGCACGAACGGCATCCATCTGGGGCTGGCAAAGCAGGCCTGCAAAAACAAACACCATGACCTGCAAAGAATGTGGATAGCAGCAAAGGGGAGGGTGAGCACAGATGGTGTGAGGAGTTGGGACAAACAATGGCAGCACTCGCAGACTGCTTGAGGGTTTAGGCCAGGACAAGCAACAGGGAATGAAGGGTTCATACCTGCATGACGGCCCTGTGCTCATAGGCCGCCACACATGCTTCGGTCTCAAAATAGGCGCTCTCCGGCAGGCGCATGTGATTCAGGCGCGTGCGGTCGCGAATGAGAGACAGGCGCCTGCCCATACACATCAGTTCAGCGGTGGCAAAAGGGCAGGAAACATGTCAGTAATAGGACAGAAATTATGGTTTGAGTTCCAGTGACTAAGAGCAACGAATCCAATCCCCAAAACACTGACCTGTCCATCTGCTTCACACGCCGCTTCTTCATCTTGCGCACGACAGCCACAATGTGGCTCATGATGCCCAGGTCCGCCTGGTGCATGATGTCAGGCATCACCACGAGGTAGGGATTGCCCCACACGGTCCCTGGGACATCCCACTTCCAGAGCACGCACTGGAAATGGGGATGTGGTGAGGAATGGAGGAGAGATGTACGTGAGAGTGGATAGCTAACCTCATCCACAAGTGGGGTGAGTTCAATTGGGCAGAGCACATTTGGCAATTCATGACGCGGCGGGCGAGAGCATAGACTACTCATGGGCCGGGGAAACAGGTCGCTCACCTCAACAGGGTAGGTAGAGTAGGCCTTGCACGGGTTGTCCTGGCTAGTTGTCGTCCCAGCCGCCTCGTTAACGATCCATTGCTGCTGTTCAGGCGTGCGCGGCGTGTTCCGTGCCTTGACCGCACTCAGATGCTCCTGTTGTAGCACGGGGGTTTAGGATGGGATAGAAAAGGTAAGGGTGGTAGCTATGTGGGTTCTATCAGGCGACCCACAAACGAGAATGTATTTGAATGCGTGCAGATGGCATGTGACCTCACCTTTGCAGCATAGCAGATGCTGCACGGCATCCGCGATCCATGCGAGAGTGTGCAACTGATCTTGCCGCTCTCGGGGTAGTCGCACACCTAGGCGTACAGCAGGGGGCGCACGGTTTGCCAATCACCGAAAGGGTCCCTGAGACGGAACCCGCTGCAAGGAACAGGTAGAGTGGCAACAGGAATTCGGGTTACGGCTTTCAGGGAGGAACGACGAGGGGCAAAGGGCCATGCTACATACAGAGAGGGTTTGCATACCATGCAGGTGGTGAGATGATGTGTTAGGAAGATGCAAACCGAGTACGGACCTGGCGATGCCATCAAGAAGCGGCTGCAGCACGGTGATGACGCAACGCTGGAAGAGCATCACCTTCTCCACGGCAGACATTGCAGACGGGGGGATAGGAAGGAGGGCAAGTAGTGTGTGCCCGGCTTTCCCCCATCGCTTGGCCTGGGAGATGTTGGCCAGCGTCATCATGAGCGGCCATGCCTTCTTCCGGCCGTTGATGCTCATGTGTGTCACATCGGAATATAAGATGATCCCCCCCACAACTTCGGACCAACCGAAGTGTTCCTGCAGTGCACGACAAAGCGGCAACGGACACACAGTTTAACACTCAAGATGCTCTTGACAGATCAGTGCAGCGACCGGGGCATGAGGAAGGATTGGGTTTGGGGTGGCAACGTGGTCTTTCCTTACCTGAGCATCATTCCACCACGTTCCTGTTTCAGGCGTGGTATAGCAACGGCCGCCTGCGTCAGGGTCCTCATCAACACGCGCCTTGAGCTTGAAGCCGGGCGCGTTGTTGGGATGTCCAAACATTTGAGCGAATGCCTGGTGTACGGTAGCGAAGGCAGGTGAGAGGAGAGGCATGGTTAGTGGCGGTGAAGGTGGGTGTACGGTTAATACAAGGATAACTACGTACATGCAAACCCAGTGTGCCTCATCATCATTTCACGGCCTTGAATGCAAAGGCGGCTTACCTGGGCTGAGTTTTGAAAGAGCAAGCGCTGTGGTGGATGACCCTCAATCTCGAAGGTCGCCACTGACCATCCGCGATTGAGCCCTACCAAGCGCTCCATCTCGAACCGCTCCAGATCCTTACAGTTCCGGAGCTCCGAGATCACAAGAGGCGCAAGGCCGGGCTCTACGACTAGCTGAAGCAGGCCGTTGATGTCAACCTCGGCCATTCCCATTCCGCCATTCACGCGCCGAACGAAATGCAGCAGCTTCAACGCGAGCGGATTGAGGGGCGTGGCATTGCTCTGTCCGGAGATGATTGATGGCGGCGCGGCATGACTCCCTTCGGGCCGGCTCTCAGGATGGTCACTCGTGTCAGCCGCGGGAGCTCCTGGTTGTGGTTGATGTTCATCTTCAGGAGGCCCCTCATTCACGTCGTTGGGAGTTTCGTCAACGTCAGCTTCAGGCACGCGTGGAGGACCGCTCTCACTGACGGCGTTGGATGCGTTAGACGCTGTAGGTGAACCGGGAGCGGCTGGAGCGTCCGACAGAATGTCGTGGACGAATAGCAGAGCGTGAAGACCGGCGGTCGGTGCAGATCGCGTGGGCCTTGCCACGGCGGATAGTCCTTGGCAAGGGGTCCGCCGTGACTTATGACCGCCATAAACTTGGGCGTTGGGGAACCATCTGTTGCAAAACTCGCAGACGACGCCTGGTAAAGAGCCCATGTGTTACGGATCCGTTGTAGAGTCGAGAAATCGCTTAAGAAGCAACTAGCCGTGATGAAGCTTGTGAACGCATTAAGTACTCCGTTCAAGAAGCCAGTGACAGCTACACGATCATCGCCAATGCGCGCACTGTGGTGGGCGGCTTGTATCACTACACGACTGGCAATTGACGTTGGCGCTAATGTTTATGACTGGCTAACGATGTCGAGCCGCGTGCTCGTTACCAGGCACGATACAGACCGCCCACCTCACGGGCCGTCTTCCCTACAAGGCGTGTCGCCCCCGTCTAGAGTGACCACGACGTGAGCAGAGGAGAATGCACTGGATCTTAAGTCTCACGGTCGTGTAAATGCATCGCGAGCACGGTGAGAAGGACGTGCCTATTGAGTCAAGAACTTGTGTTTATGACCCGTGCGTGAGAGTCGAGGGGGATTTTGGAAGAGCGGGAAGAGATCCGTTTGGATCTGTGATTGTGTCGCGAATTCGATATAGGGGGGAAATCGGCATCACGTAGGTGAGCTCAAGAGGCTTCAAACAAACATGGAAATGCAAATGTACAATTACAACTTAAAGACACTCAAGTCATTCATAACTAGTAAACATTCATATCCTCCGGACTGATGTTGAACAACCCTTACTTGATAACGATACGGGAAGTACCCAATAACTCCATTCCCTAACGTATGATTGTTGCGTGGAGCGAATACCTATAGCGTGACTCTCGAGGTGTAGTGTACCTCTACGCACCGTGCTGTATGAATATGCAAGAATGGATGACAATGTCGTACAATAGCACAACGGTTTCAATGTCCACGCAATGTTGGATGCCAATGCAACACCATACCACAACCCGCAGGCCTGAACGCTGCATCGTCGCACAGTCTAACCATGGCTGTCGATAACGCATCTACGCTTGTGCGTTGGGCCTGTGCTTCATACCACTCCTTCCAAGCACCCTGTTCAATGTCTGTGCAAGAATGGATGCCAATGCAACACCATACCACAACGGATTCACCATGTCGCGCAACCCGCAGGCCTGAACGCTGCATCGTCGCACAGTCTAACCATGGCTGTCGATAACGCATCTACGCTTGTGCGTTGGGCCTGTGCTTCATACCACTCCTTCCAAGCACCCTGTTCAATGTCTGTGCAAGAATGGATGACAATCCAACACCATACCACAACGGATTCACCATGTCGCGCAACCCGCAGGCCTGAACGCTGCATCGTCGCACAGTCTAACCATGGCTGTCGATAACGCATCTACGCTTGTGCGTTGGGCCTGTGCTTCATACCACTCCTTCCAAGCACCCTGTTCAATGTCTGTGCAAGAATGGATGCCAATGCAACACCATACCACAACGTAGTCACGTTTGTTACTATTGATAATCGTGTTAGAATGTCGTCCGCTGGCCCTAAAGCATTGTGGCAAAGCCTAAAAGTGCACAGTACATCTGTCCCAAGTAATAATTCTGGACGGTCGTTGTGTGTGTGACGTAAGAATCACCGATTAACTTACCCCAACCCCGTAGTAAACCATTTGCAACTTAGAGTTTGTTGAAATGCATTGTTGTATGCTTGAATAAAATTTAGCTTCTACGTGTAACACTGTGCGGTCTCGAAAACACTGTACTTTCGCACTGTAGGTTTCACACCGGTTTTACCCTTTGTAGTGATTGATGCGTTGGCAACCGTAATTGGCCGACGCATCTCAAACGATTCCCCCCGCAACACAGTCATCAGCCAAGAGGTACTTCAGCCATTGAGCGGCTAAGATCGAGCGGAATGTGGGTTTATGCTAGGGTGGCTACACGTACACCGTCCAATATAGCCTGATAGGGTTACATGACTCTCTCTAGTCTCGCAACCCACCCCAACCACCCTCGTGCCCCACCCACCTGCTTCCGTCACTCCCTGGGCCAACACTTTGACGCTGCTCGTTGCCTTGACACACGCCTCTCCAGATCGGCCTTAGCGCGAAGCATAGTGGCTACTATGACAGTTTTAGTTGAAGCGGCGGTTTTCGGAAACACATAACAGTGATAGACCGTCGATAATCCCATCGTGGGATTCAGTTGCAGAACCCTTTCGAAACCGGCTCAACCCTTCCGCGCGATTTGCAACTTTGCTCCTCCCACAATTACCATGACACGTGCAACACGTCTACAAGCAATGGAGGAGGAACAGGCCGGACGCCGTGCGACAAGGACGATGTCGAAGCGGAACGATTGGGAGGGTGGCGCCGGCACCAAAAAAACTAATGCATCCGTCGCGCGTGGCAAGGGGATGAAAAAAGTGGTGGCAAAGAAGGTCGCCCGCGGTCAAAAGAAGTCCGGCATGAAGGCGGGAGACAACGGGAAGCAACCAACGGCACGCAACCGTGTTTCTACAGTGAACAAAGAGGCAGATCATGCCTCTGCTGGAACCGAGCCCGGTCCGACTAACGAGGGCACCAGTGGTGGCAACGAAGATCCGGGGCGAGGAAGCGCAAGTCTTGCAGTCCCGTCGGCGGAGATGGAGGGATCGGCGACGGAGGGCAATCACGGAGGCGATCCCCGCGCCGAGCATGCCGCAACCAAGGAGTCCGAGGCGGCGGCAACGCAACACCATCTGACGTTGCTCCAGCCGACCGTGGTCGAAGTTTCTGCAGCCGTGCTGGATAAGGACAAGGTGGGGGAGCTCGAGTCGGTGGGGCTGGTCGGTGGCTCTCCACCTTCTGGTGGACGGGGGAGGCGTAGGCAGAGGAAGAGCGATGGGGAGGACGATTATGACACCGCCGTGCCCGGGGACCTCATTACGCGGGCGAAAAGGCGGCAGACGACAGGTAGTGCTGACGACGCCGGAGGTGCGGCAGTTGGGACACCACGAGGCGCCAAGGAAGCTAGTGGCAAGGCGGTCAGTCAAGCATTGCGCCAGAAGGGCCGACCCGCAGCAAGAAAAGCTTCCGGCGGAAGGAGAGGCAAGAAAGCAGCGACGGGAACAAAGCCGAAACAGGGCGATGAAGACCCCGGTGATGCGGAGGAGGAGGAGGATGAGGAGGATGCGGAGGGAGAGGAGGATGCAGAGGAAGCGGAGGAGGATGACGCGGATGTTGGGGAGGATGAAAAAGATGAGAATGATGGCCTAGGGGGAGGAGGAGGAGGAGGAGGAGGAGGAGGATGAGGAGGAGGAGGAGGAGGAGGAGGAGGAGGAGGAGGAGAAGGAGGAGGAGGAGGAGGAGGAGGAGGAGCAGGGTGACGACGAGGAGGAGGATGTGGAGGAGGAGGAGGAGGAGGCAGCAGAGGAGGAGGAGGAGGAGGAGGAGGAGGAGGAGGAGGAGGAGGAGGAGGAGGAGGATGTGGCGCCAGTGAAGGGACGGGGCGGGCGTGGCAGACGGGTGAGTGGTATAGGGAAGGAGGGGGGCCGGACTCGCCCTTCCCGAAAGCGCGGGGCAGTTGACGCTGCGCGCGGCGAAGCAGCAGGCAAACCGAAGGCGCGTAAGGTGAAGGTCAAAAGTGAAGGGGTTGGTAAAAAGCAAGGGAGCCAGGGAGCAAAAGGGGATGGAGGAGGAAAGGGTGGCCGCGCCAAAGGGGTTCCAAAGGGTACCAGCAAGAAAGAACCTGCCGGTAAACGTCGCAGCGTCCGCCAAAGCACCCCGCGGAAAGGTGGCAACAAGAAGGCGCAGGCTGCCCCAAAACCGAAGGGACAGCAGAAAGGTGAGCATTGTGTCCAATAAAACTGGCGTGACGTGTTGAACCATCTGCTAAACCGTGCCAAAAAACACCCTTTTTTCACATTGTTTCTCCAATGCAGGGAAGGAGAAGGTCGACGAATCTGCCAAGCAAGGTAAACCCTCTTGTCCCAAACCAGTACAACCCTGAACCCGATCTAGATTCAAACCTTTCAGAATATGCATGCATGTCTGGCCCCGCCTTGAAACCGATCTACTCTATTTTTTTTTTCCGGCTCCCTCTACATCTCAGCCCCTCGCGTTACAGGCATTGGGCCGCCCGTAAGCGTGCAACGAATGCATCTAACGAAGGCTGCCGGAAGAGCGAGTGTTACACCGCTCTCCTCCGGAGCACCAAGGTACTACACGCCATGGGCTGGCCCGAGCAAAGTCGCTGCGACGGCACCAGACGCGCCAAGAGGACAAGAATCCGAATCCCCTCCACCCGCCCCCATCACGCAGTCCCCACTCGCCTCACCCTCATACCAATTTCGGCAACTCCACGCTTCTCCTGCCCGGGGCAACGCGGTCTCCCCTCTTGCCGATCCTTCGCGCGGGCATCAGGCAGGCAGTCATGCCAATCCCTTCCCTGAGCTCCCCTTTTCTCGCCAGCGTGATAGTGTGAGGGCACACGGGACTGCTGCAGAAGACGTTGACCCCCTTGGCCAGAGGGGGGTTTCTTCACACCCTTTTCCTCCGCACATGGGTGCCCTAGGTGAAAGTGCGGAGCACGAGCAGTTTGTTACACGGGAGGAGTTCCAGGCGCTGCGGTCTGAGATGTACGCCATGTTTGCACAGCTCGGCCTGCGTCGTGGAGTACCTGCCAGCTATGCCAGCGGGTCGGCAGCCCTGCCTATGGCTGGTACCCCGCCGCCGATGAGCGCCGTGGACAAGGCACGAGTGCTAGTGTTGCAGAAGACAAACCCATTCCCGGTATGTGGCGGGTCACATGGGGCGGGTTGGGGTTGACGTGGCAGCAAGGGCGGGGTTGGGGCTGACGTGGCGGTTTCGAAGGGAACACAGGAGCGGCGCGTGACGAGGCGACGCGTATCAGGTGAGTGGGGGGTGACGTGGCATGGGGTGGGAGGGTGTGACGTGGCAAGTGGCGCGGCATGTTGGTGGACGTGGCGGATGCGGGTTGGGTGTGACGTGGCAAAAGGTGAGGGCTGGGATATGACGTGGCAGTGTGAAAGGGTGCAAGGGAGTGCCGCATGACGGCGCGAGGCGTTTCAAGTGGGTGGGGGGTGACGTGGCTCTTGGTGGGGGGTGTGACGTGGCAAGTAGGGCGGGTTGTTGGCGGATGCAAAAGGGTGTGACGTGGCAGAATGTGAGGGTTGGGGCTGACGTGGCGGATGCAGGTTGGTGTGACGTGGCGGAAGGTGAGGGTTGGGGATGACGTGGCACCCTAAAAGGGTACACGTGAGCGGCGCATGACGAAGCGAGGCGTCTTAGGTGGGTGGGGGGTGACGTCGCTGTTGCTGGCTAGTTGACGTGGCAAGTAGGGCGGGTTGTTGGCGGATGCAAAAGGGTGTGACGTGGCGGCATGTGAGGGTTGGGGATGACGTGGAGGTTTGGAATGGTACACAGGAGCGGCCACTGACGAGGCGACGCGTGTCAGGTGGGTGGGGGGTGACGTGGCATGGGGTGGGAGGGTGTGACGTGGCACGTGGGGCTGGTTGTTGGTGGACGTGGCGGATGCAGGAGGGTGTGACGTGGCACGTGGGGCTGGTTGGTGGACGTGGCGGACAAGGAGGGTGTGACGTGGCGGAAGGTGAGGGTTGGGTCTGACGTGGCAGTTAGAAATGGTACACGTGACCACTGCGCATGACGAAGCGAGGCGTGTCAGGTGGGTGGGGGGTGACGTGGCTTGTGGTAGGGGGGTGTGACGTGGCAAGTGGGCCGGGTTGTTGGTGGACGTGTCGGATGGCGCAGGGTGTGACGTGGCAAGTTCACACAGTGTTGCTAGTTACCATCCCATGGTCACGCGGCCACCCTCATAACTGCTGGTTTCTCTCTCCCATGTCGTCTTGTATACCTTACACCCCTGCGCAGAACAAAGCCTACTTAGTGTGCTCTCAGCTCATGTTTCTGAACCCGCCGGAGAAAATACAGTACTACCCTGCACCGGAGGAAGTGTTCGAAGCGTTCTCTGTCCACTTGTCTGCAGAAGGGCTCGAGGCAATGAAGCTGCTGTGGTTGCACAATGACAAGTCAACCATGGGAGTCTTCAACCACCAGCTGTCCTCAACAACGTCAACTATCAACTCCACCCTCAGGCCAGCAGCATACACCGGCATGGGCCTTGCCGATTACAGCCATCTCGTGGATAGCCTGCCCACAGAGCTACACCCAACGACCTGGTTCGACGATGATCAACTCCTAGCCGGGTACAGAGATGGTATGTGCAGTGCAGCTCGAAAACACAATATGCCCTACCATATGCCAGTTGGCAGCTACATATGACCGTGCGATGTGGCTCACCCTGACTCTCATCCCCCCATTTGATCTCTCTACAAAACCCTTTCCAACCCATACCCTCCCTGCCAAAAAGCAGAACAGTGGGCCCTCAACTGGCACTTTGACAAGGCCACCGGGACACCCTTCAGCAACCCCTTGTTCGCTTATGCGTTCAAGCTCTCCTTCAAGAGGGGCGGGGCGGTGTTCACCAAGTTCAAGAGCCGCATGGTGGCATGGGGCCTGTTTTCGGTAAGGATGTAGATATGTGTTTGTACCCCCATGCCTCATCCCCTTAACCCCTTGCCTGTACTTCAGCTAAAACCCTGGTCGATTAGGCCTTTGCAGTTACGTAGATAGTGACGACTGCATCACCGCTTTCAGTTGCCTCATTTACCCGTAACCTACCCTCCTCATACACCATCCACCCAACCCTACACCACATTGCAGATCGAATGGCCCCTTCTGCAGGATAAGCGTCGCAAGCGAATCAGTAGCCAGCTGGAGCAGAACAGGCCAGACTACCAGGAGTGGTGCGAAAAGGTCAAACAGATGATCCATGCTGTCGTGGAGCGGAGGATCCCCCACGATCCGGCTGTGGGTGCGTTCGTCTTTCCAAACAAGTTCTTCATCGACGACGGCGACCTTGGAGATGTCGTCCTTGCCCACCGGGCGCTTTCAAGGCCCGCCAGTGCGTAGGCTATTTGACCTGGTGCTAAGACTGCTTGTTGCTAGAATGCTGAATAATGGTTCTTGTAAACCGCAATAATAAATGCAATTTTGAAATCATCAATTTCCAAAATGAACAAATTCAGAATTTAGTTTTGAATAATTTGGTCACGAATTTGCAACAAAACGGATTGCGCCCGAATGTCATCCGGAAAAGCTCGCGTGCCAAATTGGAACTTGAACCGCACCAAACCTTGTCGCGAGATGTGTCTCGGAGCTCCTATCAAATGACTCCAACCGTCGGTCGAAATTGGGTCCGGATTTTTTTACGCGAAGACAATCGAAATCAAAATTCGTCCAAACTTGGCATAGGGTTTTTGTGATGAAGATTTCTTCTCTGGAATTCTGAATTCTTCATCTTAATATAATTATTATTACTTGACAGACATCTTGTTGAAGATTTGAGTGAAATTTCCATTTAATATAAAAACGTTATGTATAATTCATGTTTTTATCAGTGTGTACGTTGACATATTGATATCTTTAGTTTTTTGTGTCAATTGGTGGTGCTTGAAATTGTATTATGTATCTATCACATTTTTCTGATGATAAGTGTCGCTGTAAACGCAACGGACCTATCGCATGGCTCTCGTTATCAGTGTAATTTACCCTTCTACACTGATTATAAGGGTGACATTTTGGGCTTACACTGATGTGTTAAGGTATTTTTTTGGAGAATTACTATTTCACTTATATGTCAGTGTAACTCTGTAGGCCACACTGATGCATTGGGGTAATTTCTCCCTGACCAAAGATTACACTGAAGAGCATACAGAATTCCGTCGGTTAGTGATTTCCGTTAATCACGCAAGTACCGATGTTTCCTTCCGTGCAGTCTGTTCGTTGGCAGTAGTCTCGTGTCTGATTGGTTAGTTTTGTATGTTTCCCTTGCCAGCACGCCACAAAAACTCACACTGCTGTTGCAAGGTAAAATTTTCAAAACTCAAAGTTACACTGATCCATCAGTGTAATGAAAAGAAACACACTGCTCAGAAGGGTTACTGAAACAGCTACACTGCCAATCGTGAGTAGGCAAAATCCAAACCTAAATCCTGATCTACCGCAACAGAATGCAACTATTGACTTTTGCTCCTGCCACGCCTTTCACGTGCACTTGCTTTGTCCTATTTATAGATTTACCTCAGCTTCATCAGCAGTAGCAGCCGCCAGACCAAGAACCGCCTATGAGCTACCTCAGTCTGCGAGCTGTTTTTGAAAAGAGAACGCATTGATAAATGTTGCACATCTTTCCTAAATTTTATCGCATTTTCTGCAGGGTTCGTAGGTGGATTTATCAGCTTCTATCAGTTAGCAAGATATGAATCACCTAAGCACAACATACCCAACAGAGGGACATCGTTCCATTTTCAATTGAAAGGGAACTGGATGAATGGTCTGTAGATATGTGGCTAAGGCTCAATGCCTAAATAGTAAACATATGTTAATGTCCTTGTTCACTAAACCTCCGTTTCCCTTTTCAGATCCGAATGGTGAGTATTTCTTTAGGGAGACCTATTGTGACATGTAAGTTTCTTACTACTCCTATGTCGTCAATCAGGGCCAATGTACTACAAGGGACACTATCATTTATTCTACCAGTGCAATCCTTTTGGAGTAGAGTGGGGTAACATAAGCTAGGGTCGTGTAGTTTTGAGCAACCTAATCCAGCTATGAAGCACGTTCAGCACGTTTTCTACCTGTTATGTCGTTCTTGACTGACACATTCTCTCTGGCAGTGGACCCACTTGCCAGTGGCTATTAGTATGGACAAGTGGTATGGCGTAATGAGTGCATGGTCGGGTTCCGCTATGGTTCTCAGTGACGGAACTCCGACTATCATGTACACCGGAAGCAGCGAAGATAATGTGCAGCTACAAAACGTGGCTTTTCCAGAAAACGCATCCGATCCTTACCTCACAACATGCGTGAAAAGCCCTTCCAATCCCATAGCCGTTCCACCTCCTAGAGTTCGCAAATTTGACTTCAAAGACCCATCCGCATGGAAAGGAAGTGACGAAGTATGGTGAATGGTTGTAGGATTAAGGCAAAATGGGACCGACTGAGTGTTCATGTACAAGAGCAAGGACTTCAGTAACTGGTCGAAGATTCCAAACTGTTGCGACGGCGCCAGGACGAGCTGGAATGTGGGAGGTAAGTGTTCCTGGCCATGAGTGTGGGTTCCATATTTTTATTCATTAAATTTAACGCACTCCTTGTCATGCAGAGTCCAAATTTATATCTTTTTTTCCACGAATGGCCGAGCTGGACTGGATATATATTTCAAAAATGACGTTTGCCGTCACGTTCTAAAGGCATCCTTTGATGACGATTTTCTTGCTTACTATGCCATCGGAACCTACAGCCAAGAAATTGAAATTTGGGTTCCAGTGGATTCACACATCGATGTACAAAATGGGTTGAGATATGACTACGGGAAGTTCTATGCATCGAAGACCTTTTACGACCCCTCTACGCAACGCCGTATCTTATGGGGATGGGTGTCTGAGTCTGGTGAGCTGAAGAAGCTGCTGGAAGCCGCCTTTGTCAGAAAATCGGCCGGTTTCTCGGTGGTCAAAATGTCCTGCAAAGCAATCTTGTCGCTCTTCACCATCTGCTGCAGCTAGAGCAATCTGGTCAAACGTAGCGTTGCTCTATATGCTTGAGGTTGCCCTTGAGCCCCAAGCCCTCTGCGACCGTGATGGCCGACTGGTTGTCCATATGTAGCACAGTCGGCTTCCCAGCGTCGAGGAGCTGGATCTCGGCAAGGAGGAAGCGAAGTCGACATG